TTTTTTTTGCACAATTAATTCCACAGACATGAGCTATGAACAAAACAGTGTATTAAGATAAAATAATCTGTCCAAAATACAATTTCACATAATACATGAAACATTAATACTGAAAATAAAAATAAACAAAGGAAAAGTTTCGCAAAAATCAAGATAGAATTATTCAGATGAGAATTTTTCATCATTTATTTTTTTCATAACCAAGCAAAGTCGCAGAAATAAACCCGAAAAAGTTGTTGTTGTTGTGTTACTTTCTGTACTACAATAAACACCTTATAACTTGGGAACGGAACGTGCTAGGGAACAGAAACCTTTAGAGTAGTCAGTGCTTGCACAGCCCTATCTGGTATAAAACTTTCAAGTGGATACAAGTTAACTTGACTGACGAGGGAAGGCCAACAACTGTCCCGTCGCTTTTTTCACGAAACCTCGTGGACAACAGGTAATCGAGCGTGCTGAACCCGAATATCATAATGGTTTTACACCAAAGGTCTCTGGAGATCCCGGTTTTAGAAAACCAGTTTTTCACAAACTCTAAAAATAACCAAAACCTTTTTTAGTAAGGCCTGATTGTAGCCTGGACGTTTCTGATTAAATGACATATCTCCCGTTCTACACGACCTTTCTTTACAAAGTTATAGAATGTACAAGAAAGGCCCTAAATGTTCATTATCAGCTCAAAGCTACAGAAATAAGAAGAAATTAATTTCGGGCTTTTCTTCTAAATTCTATAACTTTGCAAAGAAAGGTTGTGTAGAGCTGGGAGATATCTCATTTTACTCCGAAATGTGCATGCTACAATCAGGCCTTATTAAGAAAGCTTTTGGTTATTTTTTAGAGTTTTTGTGAAAAACTGGTTTTCCAAAAACTGGAGTCTCCAGAGACTTTTGGGGGAAAACTATTGTGACATTCGGATTCAGCACACTCGATTACCTATTTTCCACTAGGTTTCCTGAAAAAAGCGATGGGACAGTTGGTGGCTTTCCCTCGTGAGTTATGAATTTTTCTATTGTTCTCGGTTTTCGTTGGAAAAATAGAAAAACTGCTCTAATTTTTTGAAGGAGAAGCTATGGGCAAAAATCCTTTTAGGCTTTTTACTATCTCGATATATGTTATCGATCGGCATATGTTTGAAGAAAAACTGAGGGGGACTTGTCCATAGGTCCCCTCGTCAGCGTTTTATGAGAAGAAATTCACATTAGATGTACGCTGATAAGCTTTTCATTTTGAAAACAATCCAGCCAACGTTACCCTGTTCTTGAAAATGTCGGAGACTGGTGCTGTCATTTTTAATAGTTTTCACATTCATGTGTTGCTCTGGATTACCTGAGATTTTTAACAGCTGTTGCGCAATGTATATTTGTTATAAGCTACTTATTAAGAATAAAAAATGCTCCTGAAAATCTTGACTAAATGAGTTTAAACATGTCTCTCGTGTCGATTTCATTTAAATTTAATATAATAAAAAAATAATGTAGTAGAGGAAGACGAAAGTACTGACAAAAAGAGACTAAATTTGTGAATGGTAAATGAGTTCTGTTTTCTTGTTTTTTTTGATTGTCTTATTTTTTTTGGCGGTTCTGAAGTTGACGATGGAATCGTTTTATCATCTAACAGTTTTCGCTTTCGATGATTTGCTTGATTTGTTGAGAATATGTCTACGGCTAAACATACACGACGCAGAAGTGTTTACAGTTTTAAAACATCCGAGAAAACTTTTATACTTACTGGTATCAGATAAATTACATGACATTGATATTACTTTCGGTCTTACTACTGTTTTTTCATCAAATGATACATATTCACGATAACGTTCACTTTTAAACAATGTTTCTGCTAATTCAGATAAACCATAATTAGTATCTGTTCGAATTTGTTTATTATCTTCACATAATTTTAAATAATCTTGTAACTTAATACCATACTCAGCCAAATGTTGACTGAATTGTTCTTTTTCGGTAATCGAATTGGATAAGGGAAAACATTTAACATAACCAGGACATGTTTTGATTGAATTCCCAGTTTTATTTGCAGTTGCCAAATACAAATCTTTTTTAATTAATTGTTGTTCAATCAATTTGTTTTTTGCAGCTGTACGATTTTGTATGCCATAATGTGATGTTATCTTTGATATATCAGTATCAGTCATTAATAGCGATTTTGTTTCTAATATCTTTTGACAAACAGCCATAATTTTTTTTCGATCGGCATCTAAGTGCGTAAAACAATTTATAAATATAAAATCAAAAGATTGAAATTTTTCGATATTATTTTGTTTATACACCTAACCGAATCATATCTGGTTGTAACATATAATGGTTAAAAAATAGTAGTAGTAAATAGAACAATCATGCATGTTTCTCCGCTTTACTTTGACATAGTAGCTAGATCGAAGTGAGGAAGACTCGAATGCATCCATATCTATTCATGTAATCTTACTTTCTTTATCACTATTTTTTCTTACGACTGTTATTCGCTCTTCATCAACAGGCGCCAATGTTGTTATATGATATTGTTGATCAACCATCATCATTGAACTCTCTGTCATATTCTTTAATGGTTCCAGTAAAACCATCAAAAAATACAAAGACAAAAATTAATACTTTTTTTATTCAAAAAGTTAAGTAAGCTCCAAATCCTGAACGCTCATAAAAGTTTCAACCTACGCCATTAGTCTCTTTATTTCATTTGATTAAATCTTATTGTGTTTATCAACATTATATTCTTCAATAGTGAAATTTTTTGCTTCTTTTTCGCTTCCAACCGCTGTTACTTCATCAGTTCGTTGCTGTTGTGTAAGTATCTCTGTACTTGTGTGTTGTTCATCATGATGTGTCATCAATGATTCATGTATCATATGAACTAGTTGTTCCAATATTGTTCCAGAATCTATAAAAAACGAAATCCCCATTATATTAAATTAAAGCTATCCATAACAATAGAATATTTACCTTCTTTCGTAGGAATATCACCGTCATTCACTTGATTTGAATTAAATTGCATCCGAACGGGTGAATTTGTACACGACTGATTTTCTTGTACTGTTTCATCAGTTGGTGATTGTGTTGGTTGAGGAGTACGGGGTGATGCTAGTAAAATAATGTTATTATTAACATCTAAAGAATGTTGCTCATTTTTTTTAATATATATGTTGTTTGACCGCTAACTATTTGCTCTTGAATCAAGTCTGCTTCGAGTAGCAATTCAATTTCTTGTTTCATAAATAAATCATCAACATATTTATAATATTCACCAACATACTGTTTGTAATGTAATGCCATAAACTGAGCACCAGGTAATGCAAATAATTTTGTTTTTGAAGAATTATGATACAACTGTATGTAATCATTTAAATTGACACCAAAACGACGTAGTTTTGCTTCAAATTCCACTTGATCATGTGACGGTGGTATTACTTTAACAAATGATCGCTGACAATTATTTAAATATCGACCCTCAAGTATTAATCCGTTTTTAATCAATTCACTAAGACATAACTCAAATCGTTCTGGTTTTTTGAAAAATGGACCATTTTTAGATAAATCATGATCGTAACCTGTCATTACTGATAAGGAAAATATATTTGCTGGATATTCTAGGATTTTTTTAGCTTCGTGGTCGATTAACAATTGGTTGTTTTCACGAATATCCTTAATAGTTAGTTCATCAGTATCAAATAGTGTTGTTGATATATTAAATAGATACTCATAATATAGCCAAGCATCTTCACATGTTTTTTTGTTAACATATAAAATGAACATGCCTAAAATTTCAAGTAAGCTTTTTCGTACCGTGTGTAAAACAAGGTTGCATGGAACTACCAAAATATTAGGTATAGGTTTGACATATCCACTGTTCTTGCTCTTTGAGAAAGTAGCATTTATTAGAAAACTAAGGAATGCTTAAAGTTATAAAGTTCACTTTTTCCCGGCAGTCTGTATAGAAAATGCATGTCTTCATCAATATTTGAAAAAACTCCTCAGAGCGATTTTAAAAATCAATTACACTGGATTTCGATTTCGAATACATCCAACGCTAGTAAAAAAACAAAGATACCTTTATCATTAACAGGTGCTTTTGAAAAAAATAACTCATCGATTTTTTTATTGGCCGCATCGATAAATGTTGTAGTGTTTGCACTACTTTCAATAAATGTATCATTAAAATTAATAAAACCACGTAATGAATGTAATACTATCATTATATTTTTAAATAATTGTAATAATATACAATAAAGAGGATAAATTTCGCGTGATTTTGAATAGAACGCTTCAATATGTGGTGCACATGTCAAAGTAAATATTTTATCGAAATGATTAGCAACTGTATTATAAGCATAATAAAAAGCACTTGACGGATCTAACGTTGGCTTAATTACTACTGTTGTTGTCTGTAGTGAGGCTGAATATAAAAAATCAAAAGATACAAAGTTTTTAGTACAACAGCTTTCTTCACAAAAAATCTTCAGCCCCAAGATGTCATGTAGGTTTCTTTTTGTTCCTCAGGTCGAGATCAAGATGAGACACCACCTATCTACGACAAATAAAATTCTAGTCAGTCCCTTTTTATGTTTAGTCCTCCGTTAATCTTGTTTCATTTTTTCAAATATAAAACTGCTGCTTCTATTTTGCATGAAAAATTATGGGACATTGGATAGGTTGTTCGACGCACGAACGAACTGTATACTCATTACTAGTTGTTGAACTATCTTCTGATTTTTCAAAACGGTATTCAATTTCACCAAATAAATGACAGATAATAAATATATGCGTTAAAGATGGTATGCCAGTATTAACAGGTTGGTGACAAAAATCTTGAGGACGTGATGCCAGTTCTTCATTCAGCTCAGAGGAGAGCAATTTCAAATTAAAACTCTGCTACTTTTCAGAACGCCAAAAGCAGTAAATAAGCAAATTAGAATAAGATATAAAAGAAGGCTGAATTGGTTCTATACCGATAAAACTTCCTAAAAGTGTTCATTGTACACTCGATCAAGTATTTATATTTCACCTGTTTGTCTGCTGTCGGTGGTAGAATATTTCAAAACTGCGTTAAGACTTTAACGTTCACTTCTATAGCCTCCTCTACAGTCTCTGTTCAAATATAAGTGCCTTGACTTAACTACAGCAGACAGTAAAATAACCATCGATCAATGTACAAGTGCAGTAAAAATGTAAATGATAACAGCAGAAAAATTGTAGTTCTCATTGATGGCTTAATTTTGTAGTGCAAAGTAGTGCTTTCTAAAACTGATCTAAGCTCAGAGCACCGACAAACTGCACTAAAAAACAAAGGAACAAAGAGCAGCGTCAAGTTTAGTCAAATGTCTCAACCAATAAAAAGCACTCCTTAACCTCACGCTTATGCACTCTTCATTGGGATATTACGCTTTCTTATAGATAGCGCCAGCCACATATATCGCCCACAAGTAAAGTTTAGTATAGATGAACGGCTCTTACACGGAGATGTATAAAGCTGTATGAAGATGTATGCGATGGTATAATATTTTAAAACTGCATTAAGACTTTAACGTTCACTTCTATAGCCTCTTTAGAATTCATAATTATAATGAGATTTTCTGCATCAACTGTTTCCTGAGTTTATGTTTGTTCGTTCTTTTCTGAATAAACTTCGGATCAACCAACGCGCGCTGAATTATCCTTAGATTCTAAAGACTTTGATCATCTTCCTGCGCATGCTGGTAGAATGTTTTGAACGTGCATATTTGCTATTGGACTCGTCTTATGAATGAACTTAACTTTTATGTCACCTACTTTGTTGCTATTTTCTGCCTTATTAGACAGAAGTCGTACAACGACAGTACGAAGTTAAACTAAAATTAACGCTAGAGTGCAGCTCAAGCCTAACTGTCACTTTTAGTCCAAGTGTATTCTGACCATTAAAATCATGATCACACTACACAATTTCAGTTCGCCTTAAGAAGCTCATGGATGAAAAGTTAAATTAAACTTAAGTGACATTTCCGATACGACCGAAGTTTAAGAAGAAATAAGCCACCCATGTGCACTATTCACGAGGAGACCTCCAGAGAGGATAAACCGCTTTTTGATCGACATCTACTAGGTTATAGGTTATCGACCATGCTGATTACGAATACGACCATGGGGTTCCCCAATACCCTTTCGAAGATCTGGTTTTCTAGAAAACCCGTTTTTCAAAAACTCTAAAATATAACTCGAACCTTACTTAATGAGGCATGATTGTAGCCCGCACATTTCTGATTAAAACGAGACATCTCCCAGCTTTGTACGACCTTTCTTTCCACAGTTATACAATTTACAAGAAAAGCCCTAAATGTTCATTATCAGCTCAATGCTACAGAAATAAGAAGAAATTAATTTAGGGCGTTTCTTGTAAATTGTATAACTGTGGAAAGAAAGGTCGTACAAAGCTGAGAGATGTTTCATTTTGATCAGAAATGTGCGGGCTACAATCATGCCTCATTAAGAAAGGTTCGGGTTATATTTTAGAGTTTTCGAAAAAATGATTTTCTAGAAAACTGGATCTTCGAACAGCTATGGGAAAGCCCCATGGTCATATTCGGAATCAGCATGATCGATAACCTATAACTCACTAGATGTCGATCAAAAAGCGACTTATCACCTTAGGACGTTCCCTCGTCAGTCAACAGATACAAAAGCACCTGAATACGATTCGTCTAAACAAATGTGACAAACCTAAACCCTTTTATATCCGCCTAAAGAAACTACTGTTGCCAACTGATAAACGCCGTCTAGCCTCCGTTCAAATATAAGTGCCTTGACTTAACTACAGCAGACACTAAAATAACCATCGATCAATGTACAAGTGCAGTAAAAATGTAAATGATAACAGCAGAAAAATTGTAGTTCGTCAAAAGAAAACGAAGACTTTAGAATTCCCATTGTTTGTATAATCGTCGTTAAACGAATATTTTATGTATTTCTGCTTTATTTAAATATTAATGCCCTAATAAGGCTTTTTAATACACCAAGAATGTATACACTAAGAATTTGGTATGTAATAATTAAGATAAGAAGGTTCAAAACGTAAGGATTAACGGTAGCACACCGGGGTATAACCTTTCACGTGGTCAGAAAAATAAAAATATACATTGCGCATCATCGAATCGTCCTCACCCCTCACGCTAAAATAACTGCTAATTAGTAACCTTTTGGAGAAGGGTTTATAGGGTTTTGTAGCGCTTGAAAATCTCTATCAAATGATATGTTTCTTCATGATTTTCACGAAAGTGGTAACTTACAAATAAAAGTGTAAGGCACCAGAGTGACGCTAATTTGCATTAATTAGCACTTATTAATTATAATCTAATACCGTAAGAAAGTTATTTTAAAATTATTTTTTTTTGAAAGTATGACCATAGATCATTGCCTCTCAAACTATTTAAAAATGACGCTGCTACGATTATTTTTGGCAGAGCTGCAAACTCTGCAAAACAGGAACCAGCAGTTCAAACAGAACTGTAAGTTCAAACAGAACTGTAAGTTCAAACATTTTAATTATTATTATCCAGAAAAGTGACAATATCATAGCAAACGGACATCAAGGTAGTTATACACTCATCAGCTACTTCCATTTTCTGATACGTTTAGAGTGGGGAAAATTTCATGATTTCTGATCAGATCCTTTGTGAAACAAAAGTAACAAATTTGCGAAAGTCTCAAAAAATCAACCTTTGTTAAGGAAGGTCTTCTAATCTGTTGTTAGGAGACACTTTTCCCATACATGAGCAAGAACCAAGTTTTCTGGAAATGATCAGTTTCAACCGTCATTCGCCTATGTGTTTGTTATGTTAGTTCTACTTTGTATCTATCTGTTATCTTTCGTTCTGTTCTAACGCTTCATGTCTTTTTCTTCACATATGACTTTCGTTTCTCTTCTTTTTTTCGTCCCTCGAATATATGTACAACTCTATTTTTTCGTTTCTATTCTATAATAGGTATCATACCATCTTCTAGGTCACGATAACCTATACTTTGTATATAACATTTTTCCCACAAAATTCACAAGGAATGTGAGCAATGTCATCCGATTCGTTGAACTGGCGTGATCGATCTAGAAGTTGAATGAAACGCTCATCAGAGCACGACCTGAGCGGCTCAATTGTAGAACTCATATTGAGTATTGCACGACGCTGGTCTGTCGGCGGTTACTAGGTTTCAACGTACATATGTATTTGCCTTCGGGTAAGGTCTTCGGTTATAAGAGAGAGACTCTAGTTGTTGTATACCTTTATTGATTCAATAAAAGAGGTCAGCGGTCAAAGACCATTCTAAACCTAACAATAATAAAGATGTTGTCAGTAGGCGGTCACAGAAAGGTAAATTATGAAATAAGAAAACAAGAAGAGTAACAAGATAAAATTAAGAAGACAGGCTAGGTAACAAAGAGAGGATGGGCATCATAGAGATTGAAAATTGAAAATTACACAAGCTCACAAACTCTATCGAATGAGATGTTAGTCGAAAGGATCGAATGAACAGTGAAAAAGTTATTGTCAATCGAGCGAGAAGGTGGCGACAGGGAGCGAAGCGAACTTGTCACCGACGAGGGAGACAATTGATCCACATATTTACTTGATGATTTGACCATTTTTAGCTGTTAAATTCTGAGGTCTGGGAAAGGGAAGGTAACTTTGCGCGTGACGATTTTTAAACAGGCGAGTTTCTAAACTTTCTATCTGATGCTGTTGCAAACGGATTCGAAAGTGTGGCTTATCAGAACATTTCTGGCTTAGTTTGACGTTCTTCTGACAGCCGACATTCTGGAAACGCCTTGAGCTATGCCTCATCGTCCAGTTTTGTAATAAACATTGTCAGTTTTTACGATACGCTCTGCCTGAATCAGTCGATGACGAGGAGGTGATTAGAGCGGACTCGCATCTGTCCTCATCTTGTGTAGTTAATGACATCTATCGTCGAATTTTCATCATAGTCAATGTGTGTGATGAAAGACTCTTCTGCCCGTTTTTGGCTCGAGCGAGGAGGTGGCGAGAGCGAGCGAAGCTAGCTCGCCACCGACGAGGGAGATGACTGTTTAATATTTTTTCTTTATGACTTGAACATTTAATTGTCAGATTTTGACGGTCGGATCGGGTTAACAAATTTTTGTCGGGTTGAGGCGGGTTGGAAAATTTTGAGTGAAGACCTTTTTTTAGCCACCAACACCTCTGACGGACAATGGCGTGAAAAAAAATACGATTTTACCCTGAGTTTAAGAACAAATTTCGCCGCCTAACCCCCCTCCCATTAGAGGTAGTATGGAACTCTGCGGCGCAACCTAAAATTTTTTTATGTCGTGTTGGCGGGTCGGATCGGATCGGGTTGAAAGTCTGTCGGGTCGAAAAAAGTCAACCCTTGCCGGACTCTATGGTAATTCTCCATGGAGAATTTATCGTACAAAACAGGAGATAGCGAAGAACCCTGTCTAAAGTCTTCGTTTTTCTTTTCAGGAATGAACGGAATAAAAATGAACACGATGACCAGATGTGAAAAGAACGAATGCGATATCAGCCAGGCTTGGCGGGTCGGGTCGGGTCGGGTTGAAAGTCTGTCGGGTCGAAAAAAGTCAACCCGTGCCGGAGTCTATGGTAATGGTCGGACCATTACCATTACTGGGAACGGTAATGGTAATGCACCAGCCCTAATACAATATACTAGCGCAGCATCTAGTTTTCTTTCGCACATATCATCTTTTGACTCCTTCGATATTACTTCAGCATCAACAGAACATTTCTCTACCAACTCTGTTGCACCTCTGAAATGTAAGTTTATTCCACACAGACTAACACTTCTGGTCTTCGTTGTTAGCGACAGATCATCAAGAAGTTGGTTAAGGAGACGCTTCATCCCATGTTCGTCTTAGCGGTGATCCACTCTACACAGGCAATATCGACATGTTAATTGGTCAACTAAGAGATGAAGACAAAGAGGACAAATATGTTAGTTTTTCCGCGGTGTGGGTGTGAATATCACAGTGAGGAAAATCGAAACCTTCAACCAGGTCAATATAACCATGTGTCTTTTAGTACTCAAGAGGGAAGTTTTGAAGTGCATCGATGTGGTATCCGAATTCAGCATGGAAAACTGAATCATAACTCATTTTGTAGCTACAAACGAGCTCTATTAGCAATAAAAGTTTCGCGATGGTATCTCGCGCTTGGAATTTTAGAGAAATAAAAAGTGAAAAGTTGAGGACTTTGAGAAAACGGGTTTAATATTTTTGAGCCCTGAGAACATCCTGAAAGAGGGGATCAGAGTACATCAGCAGATGTAGTTTCACAGGTTCTATCGAATGGGACGTTACTCGAAAGGATCGAATGAAAAGTGAAAAAGTTATTGTCAAAATACGGAAAGAAACTCTTTTTCTGGAGCTCTATTTTGTAAGTTCTGGTAAAAATCGAATATACGTTTTAAAATTATTCTAAACAAAGTCACATAGCTAATTTTGGATGGAGAATTTTTTAAATATATTCTGAAAAAAATCTATTTTTTGCCATTTCTCATCGTCCATAGGCAATGCTTGATATTCTCATGATGCCTCTCTTAATAAACAAATCGGAAGTTTTCGTTGCAACGTGTGTATGTTAGAAGGAGAATTTATCGTACAAAACAGGAGATAGAGAAGAACCCTGTCTACGAAAGTCTTCGTTGTTCTTTTCAAGAATGAACTGAATAAGAACGAACTGAATAAAAATGAACACGATGAAACCAGATGTGAAAAGAACGAATGTGATATTAGCCAGGCTTAGCATGGAGAGTCAATTCTCGCCATCGGACAGTGCCTGAGATCTTCTCATCGAATACGTGATAGGCATCATCGACTTCTTGCCAGTTTTTGGAAAAGGAAACTTTAGGAGCTTCATGTGGTACTTGTATAACACCTCCGAGACGCCAACGGCAATTTTTGAAACCACACGTTGTTGGTTCGACAACCTGATCACACATGGGACACTTAAAAGTCGAGGCACTCATGTCTAGTACCATTCCAATTTGCATGATGACCCGTTCTTCGTATGCTTCACAGGATGCATTTGTGCATGTTCCTTCTAGATTGATGCCGTTAATTACATGTCGCCACTTCGGAGCAGTGGTCACCCACTCAGTACGTTGAAGCCCTACTCTATTACTTACATCCACAAAGTCGGCATTCTTTCTGCAAAAAAAAAGAAAAAGATACAATTCTCCATTCATGATATAGATATTTTTCTGCTTTAGAATAATAAAACTCTCTCTCCTCTGGCAGAGTTTAGAACGGTGGCAAAAGAGCCGAAGACGGCAGGCTGTTTTCTAGTTATGGTATCAACAATGAGGCCACTTTGTATGTTGTGTATCGACAATACCCTAATGGTCCTTTAATGTAAGTTGATCTTTTAAACATTGCGCACATTGGCGCATTTTCAGTTACATCACATAAATCTAGAGTCCTGAGACTACCGAAGAGTAACTCACTTGTGCTATCAATGCGGAAATTCAGGATGTCGCCGTCGATGCGATGTCTAAAACTGGATCGAAAATGGGGAAAGTCAGCCGTTTGAAAAGTTCAGAGAGCTCTTTTGCCACCGTTCTAAACTCTGCCAGNAAAATATCTATATCATGAATGGAGAATTGTATCTTTTTCTTTTTTTTTGCAGAAAGAATGCCGACTTTGTGGATGTAAGTAATAGAGTAGGGCTTCAACGTACTGAGTGGGTGACTACATCTATATAAAATTTTTATAAAATGAAATGTTGGTAATTGTTAAGAAAATCAATTAACCTGTCGACGAATCGCGACTGAATTAAATGTTGTATAACAGCAGAATACAGAAAAAGTCGCGGAGCATAGGAATAGAGGATAGCCGAACAAAGGATAAGAGGAATAGCGACCGACCACCGGAATCAAGGAAGATGTTCGAGATATAAACGAGTTATTCAACATACAAAGGAATGTAAACTAATTACTAGTAGTATTTAAATACAATGTACTATATGTAATAAATTGATCATTCTGTGTTGGTATCCTGCAAAAAGGTGTCAAAAAGGTAATTGTCAAATAATGACGAAGAAAATATTTCTTTTTTTTGCTCTTTAGTTAACAAGGTCTTAGAACTAATTTAGCCTCTGACATTGCTGGTAATAACAAATAAGTTAGTCAAATATTTAGCCGTGTTATGATTATAGCAGGTACATCAGACGCTTACTTCCTACCTGAGGTGCAAAAATGTAATCTTTCTGTTGGTCCCATTATTTCTAGTTATGGTGTTTTTAATCACAACACGACTAAAGTTTTTAAAAAATAAAAAATTAATACTTATAAAATGATTTGAATAATTACGCTTTTACTATTTTCCTACTTTATTTTAATCTAGTTAACACGTTTCCTGTCTGTATTTTAATATATTTAGAGTATCACATTAATTCGAGCTCATATCACGATACACTTGAGATTGCGTTAAAACACTATAAAATAATCAGTGCGCCTTATCGCCGTATTCATCTGTATTGTGATAAACAGTAGGATATCGCTAAATTGATGCATATAGCGATACATCCCGATAAAAAGGCACTACGATCTATCTAACTATTTCTCCTATTTGAATATTTCTACAACTTAACGCGATACGAATCCGTATCGCGATGTTGATCGATAAATATTTATCTCGTCCGAACGAAACATTGCTTTGCATCGTGATAAGTCATAGAGATAACGCAGTGCGGCTTAAACGCGCGTGACGGAATTACATTTTTTCAACTTATGGACTCTGTTTCTCCTTAAATACCAAACAGAAGATGATGAAATTTTTATCCGAGATGCGTGGTAGAATGCTTGATAAAAATTTAGAAGGAGTCGGTTAAGTAGAACGGTTTTTATGAGCAAAATAGATGCCGAAATGGCTCCGCGACGGAATTATATCATTTTTTTACTTTCTTTTGCATTTTTATCGTTATATTTCTACCGGTAAAAAGACTTCCATAAATGTGATTTGCACGGAGTCTAATGCAATAGTGTCCTTTATCAAACTAAGCAAAAAAGAACGATAGCAGAAATGTTTTTCATTTACGTACAATTGGTTCAAAAAAAGTACCGTTTCGAATTCGGCAAAAACCAGCAAAAAGCTTGTTTAGTGTGTAAAATACGTTTTTTAAGATTGTTTTGACAAAGTCAGTAGTGCATTTTCTAAAGAATTTAATTCTCTGCCCACTGATATACTTTCTGAAATATTTTAAAAAACTAAGTAGGTCAGAAAATTGAAATATAAAAACTTCTAAGTTTTAAATTTGAATTTTCGATTTAAAAGTTTGAGTTACGTTAGTTTTAAAGTTGATATTCGTATCAGCGCAAAAAACTGCGTCTAGCAATGTGCTTTTAAGGATGGTTTGAGAGAAAAAATACCGCTCAGTCCACCGCAGCTGAAGGTGACAGTTACGCGTTTAAGCCGACCCAAGCCAAAAAATGCCTTTGAGAATATCTAGATATAAAAATATGTTATGGGGCAATATCGGCTTGTGATAGCTAGCTATCCGTACCACTTTTATTGAGTTAGCTAGCTATATCGGGTATGATAACTAGCGACT